AGGCCCATCGACAGCGCCCGAGGCTCAGACGCTCGCGGCCCGCCAACGCTCCGGAGTGCAGTGTGCTCACCAGCTGCTCGATGCGTAGGAAGAGGGCGCACACGTAAATAAAGATGACGGACGTGGACTTCGTCATGGTGTAGAGCGTCACGGTGATGAACTCAAAGCTCCACTGCGAGAGGCCAATATCCAGCGCGCTCAGCACGCCCGGCGCCGACACCTTGCGCCAGAACTGTCGCCATGAGAGCGTGGTGCGCTGCGTGTTGTAGGTACACTCGAGATAGTTGCGCACGGTGGCCGCCAGGAGAAACTTGACGGTCAGGTGGGCGAGTACGATCGAGAGCGGAAAGCGCAGCTCCTGTCAGAAGAATGGCATGTGCACATCACACTGTTGCAGGTCACACCAGTATGAAGTGTCATACAACACACAGGGTTAATTTTGTAACTTGTTTATCATTTGTAGCATGCAGCCTACAAAAATCATATATAAGTGTCTCAAAACTTGTGCTTTTTGACTGGTTAGTGGCATGAACTTATGCATTTCATGCAGTCACAAGCAAAAATACATGCATACCAACACACTGATCCTGCAACAGTTTTTCTTCCCAATCTGATCCACAACATGCCTAACATTTGAATCAACATTACAGTTGTTGCATTAAAGGGAGTTTGTCCAGTAAAATCCTAAAATCAAACTTTGTGCATACACTTGAAGAAAGTTTTGATTTTTAAGAAACATTATCAGTTGAAAGGCATTGAGGTGGTCACCCTCAAAAAACTACTAGCTTGCAAACAGTGCAGACCTTGTTCATCCGCCGCTGAAAACAATAGCATATTTTGACACCAAAAAGACTGTGTTCTACTCTAAAGATTGCAGGAATAATTGTTGCACCATAAATCTCATTCAAGAAGGTAACCCATGTTACTATATTGCTCAAGTTTCAGCAGTGACATAACTGTTGTTCAAAGCATATAATATAGTTTGAGTGCAATCTGCAATTGCCTTATTGCACAATTAAGTTGGCATACACTTTGACAAATGATAACACCATATTTTGATACTTAATATTCATGCCTGATCATAAGCCTGAATATCATGTCATGCCAGCAACTGACCTGCAGAAGAGATTTCTGATAAAATGTAAGTGATATGGAGAAAAAGAAATATGTCAGAAGACAACCAATGCTCTTGAATGCATACTTCATAAGTTCAAAATCCATGATGTTCTTCACCATTCATTGTTTGATGTGATCTGAAAACATTTCAAGGCATACATATTTCAGAATTGTCCACAACCAGAACATATCTATCCTCCTACACAAAAAAGGCCCTATAACTTAGTTAACATAGCACTCGGGCCCTTTTGCCTTTGGATCACAGATATCATGAGATATCCCATAATTACCAAACATTTCATGATCATAAGGTAGTGGTAAATGGGCACACTGTGCCCACAAGCTCAAAGAATCTAAGTGCATAGTTTAAACTTCTGCATAACCACCTACCAGTAAATTATATCACTCTTTTTATGATTATGAGAAAACAAGGCTGTAATTACCACAGTGACATGACCTAATGCATTAGATCTGATCAAATGGATGGCTATGGTTTGATTGCTGTTCAGTTTTGACAGCATGTTACAGACTGCAATAGGCAATCACAGACACAGACAGACTCAGACAAATGCAGACATGCACAGACACATGCTTGGTACATTGACTTACTAAGTTGTCTGTCAAACCATTACAAACTTCGGTAAACATGATTGAGACAAGAAAAGGACAGTTGCCACAGCTCATAGACCACAGTTCACCAAGGAAACCTGATGCAGTAAACATGGAGAAATGGAGGAAGTTTATACTTCTTTGGATATCATTTATCTCAAATCTGGCATGCTTACTTTTCTCTACTATCACATTGGGCAGGAAATCCTATTTTAACTCAGGGGATCTTTTATCTCAAATGTAAGATATAAATCCAGCAACTTGAACATGGATAGCAAGGTATTATCATCAGATACCATAAGCTCCATTGTAAGCATGTATAGAAATTAGCAACAAACTGTGTACCTGGGAAATGCACCACAAAAGTGCCCATACCCTTGACTGGGACAGCCTGTGATCTATGGCAACATCCACACTCATGGTTAAGTCCAAGAGGGAAGGGAAGACCATGGAAAGCATTGTGTTGGTTTGATTTTTTCACCATTTTTTCTGTGGACCTGGAAATGAACGTTAAGATGGTGGGAATCAGGACTCTCACAGCAAACACTGCTTAGCATGGACTTTGCTCCCAGAAATTCACCAATTCAAAAAAGGATGGAATTAGTATTTTTAAGCGTGTGTGTACTCAAGGAAAGCTAGTCTATTTTGTTGCGGACAGCAGAAAGTCACTGCAGCCAATGTGCTTATCGTGACACACTTTCACCGTATTTCCAGGTCCCCTCCTCGTTCCAAGCACCACCAGGTCCTCACTGATCTCGGCGACTGACAACAGGGCAGATTAAATGCATCAAGTGCGTCATTTACGCTCTTGTTTTGAGAAACACTTGATTCGTATAACGCTACTAAATAGAAGAATTTTGGTAAGACGTTTCTCAAGCTGGCACCAATTCATGGCTTGGGGCGCAGCGCGACGGCCGTAGGTCAGTTTTTGGCTAGCCTGTTCGGGAGTGCTGCGGCTGAATAGACGGTCGGGCGACGGCAAGGCTTTTCTCCTGAAAGCGAAGCCAAAGCCATAAATGCACCCACGCTAACATTCTAGGGGGTCATCCTGGATATGCTGGGTGAAGTTTGCTGTTATTCAACAAGACGTATTTTTGTTGATACCATCTGGAGTGTAGGCTGCATCGTCGGAACAAGCTTCGCAGTGGCCACTGACGTGATTGTCTGCCTGCATCCTCGGCGTGGGTCAGCCCGCGTCATCGACGTCTGTCTGCTTGCGTCATCGACGTCTGTCTGAGTCGCCAACGTTTGTCTGCCGTAGAGCAACCAGGGGGCACAGGGGGAACGTACCCCCTCCCCCTGAGGTTCCTAGGGGACCTTCGGGCCCCTCGGAACCTACGATTAATGGCCCGATTTGAGGGCCCGAAAGACTGGAGAGGCTGGCCGGAGGTCCCATTGCGGGGGCTTCGGCCCGCAGGGCTGGGCACTCCAATGTCAGCCAGAGGGCCTTGAGTGCTGATCATGGGCCCACTGAGTCAATAATGGCCTATGTTTCGGTCAGACACCACCACTAACGCCCAGCCGGCTCCGTGGCGGAATAGGCCTAAGGGCACATTTCCTAAGCACGGACAAAGCAGGAGTCAGCGATTGACATTGCTCGAGGCCCCACAGCATCTAGCAGGGTCCCCGGTGTCGCCAAAGGACCCAGAGTTGGCTAGAGGCAGTGTTCGAGGAGGTCCGAAAAGCCTGGAGGGCCCACTCGTTCCGACGATCAAGGGCGCGATTGTAGGAATGGCATAAAGGGCTGGTCGGAGTCTTATTTAGAGGCTCCGGTCTGCAAAGGCTGACAATCAAATACCGGTCAGGGGACCCTTTGCGCTCATCGGAGAGCCCCTGAGTCAACAGAGGCTTAAATGCCGGTCAGCTACCACCAGTACCACACAGTTGGTTCCGTGACGGTCTGAGGGCTCACTTCCCAAGCAGTTAAAAAGTCGCGGCCAGATATTTACACTTGCCAGGGGCCTTGTATCTGCCAGGGGCCCACGGCGCCTAACAGAGGGTCCTGTGCCCGCGCAAGCCCCGAGCTGACCAGGGGAAGTATTCGATGAGACCTGAAAAGGGGCCCGACGGCACCCCGGAACCGATGATCAAAGGCCCGGCCGGAGGGCATAAGGGCCCAAAGGCCTGGCTGTGGGTCACATAAAGAATCGCGGCCGTAGGGTGATAACCTGACATATCAGTCAGAGGTCCTCTTGCACCGGTTCAGAGATCACTGAAACAATGCGGATGTCTTAGTTGGTCAGAGACCACGAACACCAACAAGTCGGCTCCATGTTCTTCCGAGCCCTTGAGCCCCATTTCCCAGGCAGAAACGAGGCCGGGGTTTGCGATTTGCAATGTTCGGAGTGTCTCACACGGGTCCTGTGGCGGCAAGTGGCCCCGAGTCGAAGCGGTGGTTGAGGGGGCCCGAAAAGGGGACCAAAGGGTCTCTCGAGACCAAAGATCAAGAGCTCAATGGGAAAGCTAAGGGGTCCGAAGGGCTGTCTGTAGGTCACATTAAGAGGGCCATATTCTCAAATGTCAATAAAATGATCTCTTACACCGATAGGGACTCGTGAGACTGACTGCTCCTCTATTTCGGCCAGAGATCACGAACAACGAACAGCCAGCTCCATGTTGGTCTGAGCTCTGTGGGTCCATTTCCCAAGGAGGGACAAGGGCAGGCCCACGATTTACATTGGCCGGGCTCCTGTATGGTTCAGGGGCTTGCAGTTCCGAACAGGGCATTCTGTGTCAACAAGGGGCCTCGAATCGGTCAGTCCGAACTGCGCAGTACGGCAAAACATCTTGACCAGCCAGGTGCTCGCCATGTAAGACCCGTCCCTGCCGACCCGAGTCACTACCGACGCCAGTGACGTCGGGCTTGGCGCAGCGCTGTCCCAGCCGCATCCGGAGGGGAAGAGGGTGGTGAGCTTCGCCTCCTCCAGTCTCAACCCAGCACAGCGACAGTACAGTGTGACGGAGCGGGAGGTACTCGCGTGCGTCTGAGCGGTGGAGAAGTTGAGAAAATACTTGCGGAGACGGTCTTTCTGCCGCCGAGGGGATCATGCTGCGCTCTGCACCCTGATGACGTCACCAGGTGTGGGTCGAGCCGGCCTATGGATCGCCAGCTGGGCGTCACGTCTCATGGCGAGCCATTTCACGGTCGAGCACGTCCAGGGATCGGAGAACCCAGCGAATGACCTTTCAAAACTTCCAGGCCGGACTGAGGACGCCCAAGAAGACGACGTCGTGGCGGTGGCAGCGGTGACGTCGTGGCGGCCCAGCCCCAGGCCATGCAGCGGGACGAGCTGGCCAGGGTAACGCGGGAGGACCCGGTGCCACGCCAGCTCATGGAGCATATTCCGGGGCGGTGGCCGCGGCGATGCAGAGACTGTCCAGAGGAGCTCCAACCGTTCTCCCGTTGCCGGGGTGAGCTCAGTCTGGTGGGCGACCTGGTGCTACGGGTGGTCGTCAGCGGGTGGTCGTCAGCGGGTGGTCGTCAGCGGGTGGTCGTCAGCGGGTGGTCGTCAGCGGGTGGTCGTCAGCGGGTGGTCGTCAGCGGGTGGTCGTCCTGGCGAGACCGCGCTCCAGGACGGTCAAACTGGCTCACGAGGGCCACCAGGGGATTGCAAGATCCAAACAGTGAGCCAGAAAAGTCTATGGGTGGCCGAGAATGGACACCGAGGTGAAGGCTATCGTCAGAGCTTGTGATGTTTGTTCAGCGCTAGACAAGACAGCTAGGATACGCAGCGCGCCGATGCAGCCCGTACCTTTGCCACAAGCGTCACGGGACAAGGTCAGGGTGGACCACACCGGTCCTATGGAGGCACCCAAGAACCAACGGTTCGCGACAGTTTTTGGTGAACTACTACTCCAAGTGGATCAAGGTAGGGTTTTGTGCAGAGGCGAGCTCAGAAGCCCCTATCCAGTTCGTGGAGGTGATTGCTCCGCGAGAAGGCTACCCGAAAGAGTTTGTCTCCGACAACGGGACGCACTTCACGTCCGGAGCCTTCACTGAGTACCTACAGAATGTAGAGACTCGTCAGATTCGTGTGACTCCGTACCACCGGGCGGGGTCGGGTGCAGGGGAGCGGGCCAACCGCACTGTGAAGTCAGCACTGCAGGCGGCGGACCAGAGTGGCGAGGACCGCGTCCGGTATCGGCAGAAGTTCCTACAGCAGTATCGGAGCACCCCACTACCGGAGCCATCCCATCTGAGCTGCTGCACGGAGACGGCTGAGGACCAAGCTACACGCGGCGGCCGCTGCCTCGCCTCACAGTAAGACGAAGATGCAGCAGGTAGTGCAAAGACGAGTGTTTACGATTATTGCAACCTAAGCCATCGCCAGCCTTATTCCCCGACACCACAGGCGTGCCATTGGGGCTTTATGACGCACTCAGCTACTGGGACTACATGGCGTCGCCAGCCTCTCAACCTGGTGGGAAGGGCGGGGACCGTGGGGGATCGAACCCCATGCGTGTGGTTTCCCAGACGCGCAGTGGTTGACGCAGGCGCGTTAACCACTGCACTATCGTCATCCGGCGCGCAGGCTCAAACGCTTTGAGACTATTTGTTCCACTAGTCAATTCTGCAAAATAATGAACGTTTTTGGGGAAACATGGGATGAACTCGTGTTTTTTTAAACTCAGTTTGAACCACTCCATTCATCACTAATGAAGCATCTTATTTCTGTCCGGTAAAGAGGCCCTCTTGAGTACAGCACTATCGGACACGTTGCTCACGGTCAAGTGTTGAAGGGCCATTCCGTCCCACCGCCGTGCGCTTTCCGGTCGTCACTCTGGCGGCTCGGGGTGGCAGCCCTAACCGATCCGGAGGCCCTTAGAGGGATACATGGCATCACATTGGTCTGCTTCCTGTCGCGAAAGGCCTTCTGACCCGCGCAGTTGCCCCGGATCGACATATGGACCGTCATCAATACAACAACATCCCTGCTCGCCTCAGGTGGTTAAATAATTGGGACATAGACTCCGTTTGGGATGAACGGGCCTATGGTGGAATGCAGTTGGAGGGCCCACCTTTCGGTGCTGAGGAACCTGGCTGGCACCGAACTTTTTATGGCTTCAGTGTGAGCAAACATCATAAGCTCTGGTTTCCTTCAATTGTCAGAGAGCCCCGACCAACACAAGAAACGCTCCTTCATTCGGGCTGCCGTCCCCGTCCCTGTTGAGCAAGTGTTCCTGCAAAGTTCCCTTCGCTAACACAGGTTTATTACTTTATACGTAAATGAAACAATTACTTGCAATAATGTCAGCCCAGGAAGCTCAGCGCACAGCCCGCAACAGCCACACAGCCACTCGCGCCGCACCATACAGACACCAACACGCAGTATGTCTCTCGCCCCACAAGCAGACTCTACAGCGGTGACATGACCAAACCTAGGTTCCTGTAACTTCCGCCAGGTGTCGAACAACTACGGTTTCACGACAACTACGAAAACAAACTCTCAAAACGCCTGAACACTACATTCTTCCCTCCCCCCTACGAAAACCCGCACCGCTCGGGAGCACGCACCCTCCGTTCCAAACGCCTCAGACCGTCACGCCCGTGACCATTACCGTCGCGCACCTGGTCCAGCTGATTGCCAGCGCCGCCCGTTACCACCAGCTCCGCTCCCGCGGTCGCCCCCGCAGCCGGCCGCTCCTCATTGTCTCCTGTTGTCTCTGCATCCGGCGGAGGCGATGTTGAGCCGGCCCGACCTGGGAAAACCCCGGCTCCACTTGCACAGCTCCCACCAGCCGATGCGGGTAGCGTAGTCACAGCTTCGTCATCCGCGACCTCCGCACGCCGACACGGCGTGACCAGGCGCTACCGCCGGCTCCACTGCCGGCGCGGCGCGACCAGGCGCGACCACCGTCGTCGCCTCCGCCGGCATACGCGGTGCAACTTGCTGAGGCAACCGGGATGCACTCTCTCGGCTCCGCTGGTGCTCCGACTGCTGTCCCACAAACAACTTAGCAGGCTGCTCCGCCGGCTGATGATCAGGTGCAGCCATCCGGCGAGTGAGATGCTCGGCGTGAACCCTGGTATCACAGCCCAGCTCGTAACTAGATGGCCCTCTGCGAGCCACGATCTGCCCCGGCTCGGAGAATCGATGGCACCGCTCCCTCTGCCGGGACACCGGGCGGTACCTGACCCTGTCCCCGACGTCGTGCGAGGGTAGTCTGGCGATCCTCGCGCGGTCAGAGTACTTCCGCTGATACTCATGCCTGCTCCGCACTCGTATTCGTACTGCCTACTGCATCTCGCCTCGCTGTGAGGCAAGCCAGCGACTGCCGCGTGTAGCTTGGTCCTCAGTCGTCTGCCGTGCATCAGTTCACATAGGATGACTCCGGTGGTGGCTTGAGGCGTGCTCCGGTACTGCTGTAGGAACTTCTGCCGGTACCGGACGCGGTCCTCGCCACTCTGGTCCGCCGCCTGCAGTGCTGACTTCACAGTGCGGTTGGGCCGCTGCCCTGCACCCGACCCCGCCCGGTGGTACGGAGTCACACGAATCTGACGAGTCCCTTCATTCTGTAGGTACTCAGTGAAGGCTCCGGACGTGAAGTGCGTCCCGTTGTCGGAGACAAACTCTTTCGGGTAGCTTTCTCGCGGAGCAATCACCTCCACGAACTGGATAGGGGCTTCTGAGTTCGCCTCTGCACAAAACCCTACCTCGATCCACTTGGAGCAGTAGTTCACCAAAAACTGTCGCGAACCGTTGGCTCTTGGGTGCCTCCATAGGACCGGTGTGGTCCACCCTGACCTTGTCCCGCGACGCTCGTGGCAAAGGTACGGGCTGCATCGGCGCGCTGCGTATCCTGGCTGTCTTGTCTAGCGCTGAGCAAACGTCGCAAGCTCTGACAGTAGTCTTCACCGCGGTGTCCATTTCCGGCCACCAATAGACTTCTCTGGCTCGCTGTTTGAATCTTATAATCCCCTGGTAGCCCTCGTGAGCCAGTTCCACCGTCCTGGAGCGCAGTCTCGCTTTGTCAAGCGCCTTGTGGTGTTTTAGTGACGGGACTGGGTACAGGACGTGCTCAGTTGTTCCGTTCTGCTGTTTGTCTTTACAAACCTTCTTTTTAAACTAGTTTTTCATACGCAAGACGCAGTTTTCATGTATTCAGAATTTGTGTTGCTCATGCTGCAGCTGCTGCCCTGAGATGTACGGAGGAGCCTTAATCGCCGGTAATGAGTGACTGCATACGCACATGTTGGAGCCTCACGTCGGTGCGCTTTTTACGCATATATCAGTAGATCGGTAGATAAGTGAATACCGAATATGAAATTGAGTCAAAGATATAGAAAATGTAATCTATGCTTTTTTCTTAGCGGCCTTTGAGTTCGAAAAACTATAACTTTTCTGATGCAGCGTAGCGGTTCAAAACTTTGTGCTGGCTGTAAGGAGGAGGCCAATTTCTACCAGCACACGGAGTTTCGAAAGAATTGAAGGAGTCCGCGTTTTTATTGTGACCTTACCTGTCGATTTCTTTTCGGTAACAAGGCGTACCGATCCTTATGAGATTCAATTTCACCTTAGCGGAGGTGTTGTGCTGAAAATCACGCGTTGAATTGTGCATGGTTTCACCCCGATTGATGCTCCGCTGAGGAGAAAGTCGACCTCCTGGCCAGCGCAACCAAGCTGCACTTTTTTGGGAAGAAACATAAAGCGAAACACATAATTGTAAATGGCACCATACTCGTAGTTTCAACAGGCAATTAGGGTAGATGGCGTGTTGAATGGTAAGGTTTGGCAGCTACGGCGTGATAGATTCTCAGCTATAATTAGTCTGCAAGCAAGAATTTTGGACGTTGTGAAATTTAACGACTTTTGACCTGACCTAGGGCCACCAACTTTGAAACTGCAGCAGAGAATCAGGTATGGGTATCCAATGTTAAAGTTTTTACAGTGATCGGTCCAGTAGGCGCTGATATCTGGGTTGTCTGCATGCGCGTATAAAACTTTCCCTTCGCATTTTCGAGGTGTTTGACCTCAGGTCAGGTCTCGATATTGCCTCCCATGACTCGCCTTAATGCACGGAATTGATCGGTGAAGGTTTCAATGCGATCGGACAAGCCGTTTTCGGAAACTTGTGTGTCTGCGTCACATGCTGTTTTTTTAGACCCCCACCGCTGAATATGGATGTGAATCTGATGCCAATTTGAACGAGACCTTGGCTTTCGCGGATAGCGTGCGCGTTGGGGGGCCGCGGCGTGGGGAGGTGACGGGCGGTGGAGCCGCGGGTGCTGTGGAGGCGTGCGCGGGGATGTACGTGGCTTTATCATGGTTGTAAGAGTCAACACCCCCGAATTGATGTATGGACCAGTTTTCGAGTGAATCGTTTAAAGGAAGCCATCTGTCGATAGCATTTCAAGTAAGTGATGCCCAAGGCCCTGTAATAGCGTGATGCATAGTTGCCGAATGCTCTGGAAAGGCCGTGGAGAATACCAATCAGCTCCAATCAGAATACCAAAGTGTTTACGCCTTAACTGAAAGCAATTCAACCAGTCTGCCGTCTGGGAATGCTTGAAACTGTAGGTGTTTTGGTATTTTGGTAGTAAGTAGCTGTTATAATTGTGCTTCTCAGTTTTCACCTTAACACAGCTACATGTACTTTATCAGGATTGGTGACAAATGCACAAAAATATTACACATGGCACCGGGCTCCCATTCACAGTGGCCATGTTCTAAATTCTGAACTTGTATTTCTGGTGTTTGTGAGCTGTAACAGTAGTCACTGTATCACTGCTTCATCAGGCATGCTATGCGAAGTAGTACTTACAATCCTGCTAATTCATGTTGTTTGTTAATGTTGTGTGATCCAAATAACTAATATTTGATATACCTTTATTCCCAAAATGTGAAACACAAGCTGCACCCTGACATGCTATTTTGACCACCTTACATGTATAAAAATGTGGTATTCATAAAATAAGATAATGTCATCATAGGTGAAAAGGAAGCATTACAATTCCTTTACCTGGAATGTTTGCAATTCCGGCTCCACCTGGGCCATCATTTCTCATGCCACTGTCCCTTGCAATGCTTGTGAAGCCTAGTGCTTAGCATGGTTAGGTAACTGGAACATTCTGATAGGAAAGGTTGGTGATGTTCCAGACTTTAAATAATGTTTCATTATGATACCAACACATAACAGTCAGCTCTAATAATTTTTGTTTGTAAAATTCTTAAAAGAATTGATGAACTGCAACCATTTTATTTAAGAAAACCACTCGCTGATGTTTGTTCAACTGTTCTTTGTTTGTGCCGTGCACGGTTTATCCTGAAATAGTCTTGTGAACTTAAGAATTATTTTTGCTCTTGAATATCTGACATCTATGTATCAATCCATATATGTATTTTGCGTGTTCCGAGCATTAAGACACATTTGTGCAACCTGATGAGTGAAAGTGAACTCTTAACTGTTTTTTTTGCTGGTGGCGGAGTACAAAAATTTTTGTGGTCGGAGTACAAACTTGCCTGCAAGCAAAGGTCTGTCTAATGTGGAATGAGTGTCTGCACAATGGGCCTTGCTTGGAGTACATCACATACTGCCTTTAATGGTTCAACATTTTCCCAATGTTTTTCTAGCAAAAATTAGTGTCAGCATGCAATTTTGCATTTCCGTGGAACAGAGCACTTCTTGTGAGTGAGGGTGCCACACTGATCCCATCCATATCTCTGTAGTGCTACTAGCTTGCCTATACATGCAAAGATTGCTTAATGGTACATGTTAATAAGAAATATACAGTTGAGAGGTTAACAACAAAACTTTATACATATGCATTCACAGGTGCATCATACAAAGCTCAGCTACTTATCATTACCTGTCTACATGCAAACTTACACAATATCGAAATGATAAATCAGGTGCATCCTCTGCTTACTGACAAACTAAGTTGCGGACAACCACTGTGCATCACACCCTGGTTTTTTAATGAGTCTTAGGCAGATGCAACTGTCTATGAAAGCCTTATGTATGTGACATCACTAACATGTTGTCCTTTTGGCCTTTACATAATTAATATAAACATACCAAAAGTGTTCCTCTTCCTATCCTTCTCTTTCTGCTCTTCTCCTCTTTCAGTTCCTCACCTTCTCTTTCTGTCACTTTTCTCCTTCCACTCCTCCTCCACTTCTGCTCCTCCTCTCTTCCTGCACCTCCTGTTATCCCTCTCCTCTTCTCCAAGTTCCCTATGATCTTATGAAGGGACAATTTTAATACTGTCACTGCAAGACCTTATGCCTGACAGCAAGGAACATGGCAGCATTGCCTCCTGTCAGGTTTCAGCAATTATAACCACAACCTGAACAGAGGCCAGCCTCATATTTGACCCCACATGGGAAACCCAAGCCTAGCATTTATGTTGTATATAGATACCTTAGTACCTATGTACCTACCCACCTTGTTGTAGGTAGAGCAGGTTATACCAAGGTGATTCTGCACCAGCCTGCAGTGGTAAACATTTATAGATCAGTCCCCTGGTATTTATTTACCTTTTTTGGAATGACTTAATAGCGGTCCAAAACTAAATCCCAAGTAATTTTAGAAGTGTGGATACATGCTGTGTGAAAATTGAAGACAACCAATTCCACTTTGTCTCACTGAATACCTCAAACTCGCAGTTACAATGCACATAATCCCAAGCATCTTCACTCACCTTCCGCCCTCCTCACTCCCACCACATCAAGACAAACAACCAAACCATGCACAGGAGTTCTGGTGCATTCACAGACATTGTGATGGCATTCTAGCACTTGTCAATGGGCAACCAAGTACAAGTACCACGGGTCGGTCCTGAAATGACAGGCTGTGATGAATAGTCTAAGAAAAAACATTTATGCAGTTGCAGCAACACAAATTGTTAAGTTCGCAGTAGAAAAATCATAGAGCTTTTCAGTCATGCATTTAAAGTTGCTATTTTCCACCTACAAATATATATTATCTTCTGGTGGCGCGACAACGCCGAGATAATGCAGGACCTGTACTACAAATCTATAGATATTTCTCATTCTAAGGCATATCATGCCATTTCAACACCCTCTGAGGAAGGCCCGTATCTGGACGATACCAAAACACGTCAATTTTTTAATTAAATTTGGCTAACTTTGCTAAAAACTTGCTGTTCTCCGGCTTGTACTCCGGCTTGTTCTCCCCGGGTCTCCCTATAGGCCCCATTGTGAGAAGGGCAACCAAGTACTGCGATTTTTTCCCACCGGGTTATGGACCATCTCTATCTTACAAGTATAGGTACTGGTTGAGCCTGGAGACATGATACCCTTGTTAAATAAGTAAGATATCCTCGAATCTTCAAAGACCGGTACCTACCGATTTCTGAAAAAGTGGTTGACTTACTATCATTTATACAATAGTAATAAGTTTTGGAATGCCGCATGCCACAAACTCCCATTTTGGGAACGTAATTCCCGATGACATTTAAGAACCCAAAAGAAGCCGTTACCACCAAAAGTGCCGCCCACAAACGTGATATTTGGGTGCCATTTAATGTCATGATTCTATCTCAAAAGTGCCGATATGTGGTGTGTTTGAATGCTATGATTTTGAGTTTAATTGCAAGTTGGATGGTGATTGGTGGCTGGTATGGCAGGAGCAGGAATGAAACAAGCGCTTTGAAAAGGATGTGCAGTGCTGCAATCTTTGGAATTTTCCCACCAAACTGTTTGCAAGATGCACGTCCTTTGGTAAAATCGCTAACATGTTATCTTAATATGAGGTAAGTTAAGAGCATAGTTGGCATGCTGGACTTCTTGCTCGGCGAGTCTTTGAATGACCTAGTTGAAAAAGATGTGCCAGCGGTGATTTTGGTGCTGCTAGTGGTTTCTGGTCGAACGAATATCGTTGTAGGTGTCTGTTGCGACGCGGACCTTCACTGCTCGAAAATGCACTCGTCAGTTGCAGGAGGCTGGGCTGCCGCTGGTTTCGGGTACGGGAGGCGATGGGCTCGTCGCGTGGTGGGAGCCAGAGCCGTGATATGTTTGTCCGTTTCTTGAAAGTTATCGGTGGGTGTGTGCGTCGTGGAGAATGCGGTCTTCTTACTTAGGTGCGCCATATATTTTCCCCACAGGTAATGACATGCAAGGTATGTGGCAGCGGTAGGTACTTAAAACAAGCACATTTCATAGTTCAGTTTATTTCATTCCCACAGAAGTAACTCACATGAGTTGTCATCACCATTCAGGAGTTGCATAGGCTTGTACAAGTGCATCTAACCCATGTAATACAATGATGAAGGACATTAACATGAACGCCCTGGATTGGCCAGCTCCTGTAGGATTGCAGATGCTTGTCTCCATTTCTTGGTGCTCCATATGTTTGGTCCCTGGAAATCAGATAAAAGTTATAACTCACTTTATGAAAGCAAAGTTCATGCACCCTCCTGGCTATCAAGAAAGCAAAACTGTCTGCCTTGGTACTTATACTCAGGCTCATACATTTGCAATGGTGTCTGCTTTGTGGGGCGACTGCAGTGTTTGTCTGGAGTACAAAAATTGTCATTCTTACCAGTCAAGAGCCTGGAGTACAAAATTTCCTGGTGTCACATCCACCAGAAAACGGAGGTTTTTCCCACACTGCTTCGTACTGCTAAATTTTGTGATGAAAAATGGTGTGTTTAAACTCTGTTCAGTGCAGATTTAGGGACACATAAACCTCTTGGAACTAAAGATACCAAGATGCACCTATATTTTCTACACTCAACACAGACTTAGGCTCAGCTGCATCCTAGTCTGATTTTATTCACAGTCAGAGATTCAGATTTTCAAATCCCATGCTGTATTTCTCTAAGCAGGATGCCATGTGCAGTCACTGACCCCCCTTTCCCTGACCTGCAGCATGGAGGCCGCCATCAGCGACACACAGCTGCTGGCCTGTGGCGACAATGCTGATGAGTGGCCGTGCCTGGGCGGCCGGCCGTCGGCGGCGGGCGGCGCGCTGCGCGTGGTGCCGGCGCTGCGCTCGTGCGCTGAGGTCAAGTTCGCGCTGCTGGACCGGCTGCCGGGCTTCACCGAGCCGGACCTGCACACGGACCTGCGGCCGACCGCCGCCACCGTGCCGCTCTGGAGCCCGGCGTACGCGCGCGAGATGGACGCCTGGCAGCGCGAAGTGCTGCGCCGCCAGTGCAGCAGCCACGACCGGCCAGAGTTCTCCAGGTGAGTGGTGCGGGCCGAGATGGAGCACCCCAGGCAGGGGAGAGGCACAGCTGGGGCCAGTTCTGTTGAACAGTCATCAACAGTTTGCACCATCTTCCTGGGATCGAAGTGTTCGTATCGTTGATTCGTCACCAACCAGTAGAGCATTGTGACCAAGTGAAGAGGGAGTTTTGTTTCAAATGGGTCAAAAGCAGGATAAGTTGGGTGATTGTTCACCTTTTTGGTAAAGAATGTTCACTTCTTAATCTTCTACTTTGCCCTCTTTTTCACGGGATGCCAAAAGAGGTCCTCCATGCTCAAAAAGGTCCCCACAAACGCACACAGTACCACGGAAATTCTTTTTTGAGCCAAAAATGTCTGTGCAGAACCCTTCCTTAGTACAAAAACACAGGTGCTGTACTGGAGTTTCTATTTATGTTTGATAGGCTGTAGGAAGCAAATGTCATGATTTGAGCAAACAACTCCAAGTTATCACGAACGTGTGCATCAATATGTAATCAAGATGACTGCATCATCTTTGGATTGATTGTGGGATTTAACAGTACAACTGTCGAATGCTCCTCCCCGGCGAGTATTTCAAAACAACACGAGGATCGCAGCAATCACGAAATATGCCCAGTGTGCCTGTTTTATGTAAGACGGCAAAGCTGACCCAGGCTAAGGTCTGCTTTGACGTCCTCCCAGTTTCCTCCTTGTTGGCAGCTGAGCCCGCGGCCGAGCTCCCAGTGGGAGGGTTGTGCAGCGTCTTGTCCGTACCACAAGCATACACAGTGTATAAGTACTGCATAGTCTGCCAGTCTTACACAATGTGCTAGTGGCACATAGTGTGCTAGTGTTACACAGTGTGCTAGTGTTAGCATTCTAGTGTTGAATAGTGTGCTAGTGTATCAGTGTGTTAGTGTTACACAGTGTGCTAGTGTTACAGTGTGCTAATGTTACACATTTTGCTAGTGTTACGCAGTGCGTGAGTACTATACATTGTGCGACGCCAGTAATTTTCAGAACATGTCTTTCGAATATAACTTTCAGGAGATCTTTCCTCTGAGCATCCTTTCTGGGGATCTGCCAGATCTGTCGAAGCAGACAGTGCAACAGTGTTCATAGTGGGGAATTTAACCAGGTAACGCAAGCAGTGCCGCTATGCTGCTGCACTGTAATGCATTGCCAGGGTTTGCTTTGCTGCATGTTTACTTGTCTCGTCCAGAATGTAAGACAGTGCCATTAGTCTTATTTATCGTCGAATAACCAGGAGGAAGGAGAGCTAGATGTATTGATAATTGGCAACAAGCCTTTAGCAAAAGACTTTGAGTGGTGCTCAACAACTGCAACTACAAGTAGTGGTGGAAGTGCTGATATGTTTTGATTGAGACATGCCGCTGAAATATTGATGCATCTGTGTCTCCTTTCTCCTGGCTATTGGATGAGGAATAAGGCTGACAGTGCTGTCCTGCCCATGTGTGTAATGTTCGTTGCAAATACACTTAACAACCCATGCCACTCAGAATGTTTTGATTGTTGCTCTGTGTTGGTTATGTCAACTCATACTGATCTGTATTTTAATGAGTTTTAACTGAACTTCATGTTATGATGTCATCTTGATCTTTGCTGTTTGAACTGATTCTGACATAAGTGTTCTTGTTTTCAGTTTCTGTATAGCCAACATGTGTACGGATAGTCTTGATGGCGTCGATGTCATCTCTGAAAGTGAAAACATCAAGAAGCTTCTCAAACTCGCCTACAACAGTAGTGAAGAGGTGAGTTGAAGTTGTTCTCTCTGATCTTGGTAGTCGATTATGTAGACTCGATGATGTAAGCCCCCATGCCCAGCCAATTAGTACAATCTGACCCTTTGCAAAATATCAGAACGGGTCAGATGTGTTGAGATTAAGCGGAGCTTATGTTTTAGCCTTTGGCTCGGGCACTAAAACGGATGCCCTGTATTTTTTGTACTCACGTTATTTGATTCCCGCCAGCATCTTATTCAAGGCGACATTTCCCGTCCAGGGGAAATGCCGACGCAAACTGATGCAACATAAAGCGGAAGAGTCGGCTGGCTGTGGCCGTTCAGTGGCCCCGCTGGTGACGACGCCTTCCTAACAGCGGTTTGGCTGCAGGAAACGCGCCGGCAGACGCAGCAATTATCAATCCGAAATTTTGTGATACGCCGCTTATGGCATCCGGGCTGAAATGCGACGCCTTTCCTGCAACCGTGTGCTGTGTCTCGTACGCTTTACGTCTCTAACAGCTGTGTTAGCTGGACGATTTGGATTGGGCGAGGAGCACGTCCGAATTCGGGTATGGTGCGCATGGCTGAGAGCAGAAGACCGTCAGTGGCCGGGTCACTTCCTCACCGCGCGCGTCTTGGTAAGGAAGTAGGCCGGCCATCGCTGCAGCTGGTTGGTGCTGTGAGTACTGGGGCTGCCACGAGGAGGATGCGTTCGTCAGGGGAGCGTACGGTGCGGCCGGGAAGAGTTGGTCCTGTGGCTATGCGGGTCTACAGAGTGGGCACCCTGACGCGGCGCGTGCTTGTGCCGGCCAGATCAGCATGATGGTGCACCGCGTCGGCCGGCTGCTGCTGCTGGACGAGTTCGACATCACCTCCCATCTGCTGGAGACGGAGAAGACCGAGTGGGTCTGGCTCGACCGCCTGCTCCGCGAACATTTCATGACCAAGTTCGAGGTACGGGGCTCTAGTCCCAGCTCTGACCAGCTAGGGTAAAACTACTTGATGCGAGCACCGAATCTCACTGAAGTGGTGACTTAGCGGAGTATTGATCAGCTACTCATTCGTTTCATTTGTTGACAATATGTTGTGTTTGTACAAGGTAGGAGGTTGACCTCATGATTGATGCTCGGAGGCGAGCCCGCATCCATTTCAAGGCGGCTCATCCCACACACTGGCTGTGCCGACGCCAAGTGATGCGACATTACATGGATCAGTTGAACGAGAGGGGTCGACCTGCTCCTCTTGGGATCACGTGCTCCGACAGCGATGTAATCCTGACAAGTGACCTGTGCCTGACCGGTGTCGGTCGGTGCGATGCGGCTGGGGGATGGGGCTGCGACCATGCCAACCTCACCTGGCAGCTCGAGACACTCGAGTTGCTCCTGCCTCGCAGGCTCCGCACTCCACAACCTGAACCACTCGGCGACCCATTGCGTGGTGTTTCAAAGACCGCTTGTGGGTGACAACCCCGTCAGTGAGCCCCGACCCGGGACGGTGTCGTCAGCGGTCCCCCACCTCTGCCAGTGACGTCACTGGCCACTGTCCGGCGCTTCTGATGTCAGCTTCCCCTGTCGGCTGGCGGTGGCATCGCGGGTCAGTTATCTGCCGGTGACGCTGGTTATGGGTGATATGACGTCGCCCAATGATTGTGGTGACGGGCTGGCGGTGCTGACGTCGCAAGCCCTGACCTCGGCTGGCGACGTCAGTGACCGCAGACCGGTGATCGTGACCCCGGGAACATCGGAGGGGTGCTATGTGACCGGCGTCTCCCGCGCTCCCTGGCGCCGGTGACCCGCTCTCCTGCGCTCCCTGGCGCCGGTGACCCCGCTCTCCGGCGTCGGCAGGACGTGGACTGGGCGCGGCGCGCCGCCGCCGAGGAGGAGGCGGCCGCGCTCGACACCCGCTCGGCCGACCTCTACTCGCAGCTGCTGCTCCACAGCGTGACGGCGCTGCCGGCGGCCGTCGCCGCCGCGCCGCCCGCCCTGCTGGCGCTGCCAGCGCCCTCGGACGTCACCGAGGCGCCGCCGCCGCCGCGCGGCCGCTACCGCCGGCACTACTTTACCAGGAACATGCTCTGGACCTTCCAGGACCTCAAGATGCTGATCGGTGGGTATGATGGGGTGGGGAAGGGGGCTGGCGTGACGGGTGTGAGAGATGCATTGTTGCGAAGGGTTTATGGTGGCTGGCCCGGAGGTGTGATCGGCTCTAGCTGTTGCCGACGGCGTGTTGCGAGCGCTTGGACTGAAGCTGAGCCCCAACAGACAGCCTTCGTCCCGTGTCGTCACTGTAGACTGAAATGATGGCTTACACTCGGACTTTGGCGCGTTCATACGGACATTGCATGACATCGGACCACTCGGCCCGCGTTGTTCGTCTCTGATGGTGAACGCCGATGCGGGTGTGGCCGCTCGCGTAGGCAACCGAAACGATGAAGGTCGGGTTGCGTCGCGAATTGTGTTGCTGCGCGTGTTCCCGGAAGCGAGGCTGACAACAGCAAATTACGGCAGCAGACTTCTTCGGGTGATGCTGGTACTGACGCTGACGTGAAGTGTTGTGAACACCAGCGCGAGCTGAGGCGTTGCGTTGTGTCCGTGTCATTTATGTGTGGCAGCGCCGCCGTCATGAGCACGACGTGTTTGTCCGTCTGCGGTCTCGCGCGCCATCTGACCGCCGGTTGTGTGCTGCGCCTGGGGCTCCTGACCCCCTGACCTGCTGCTGACCCCTGACTGCCGGCGCGCTGACCCCTGGCCGCCCGCGTACTGACCCCTGACTGTTCGCATGCTGACCCCTGACCGCACCCGTGCTGAACCCTGACCGCCCGTGTGCTGACCCCCGACCGCCCGCGTGTGTTGACCGCTGTGCGCCTGCGGCAGGCACGGACATGCCAATCCTGGGCGGCGGCACGCACCCCTGCGTCAGCCTGCGCCTGCACGACCTCTCAGAGCCCATCAACGTTCTCACCGGGCTCGACTACTGGCTCGACAACCTCATGTCCAACGTGCCCGAGGTGCTCATGTGCTACCACGTGGACGGTGTGCTCAAGTAAGTGGTTTCGGCGGGTCCTGAGCGGCGGGACGCTTGGGAAGTCGCTCGATTGTTTGCCGCTGCGTGCCACCGATGTGGGGGTTCGCGATGCACGCTCACGTGCCCGCTGCGACAGACCCAGCGCCAACGCACGCGACGCGTGAGAATCGAGCTCAGTCCCAGGAGCCCATATCCGAGGCTGTTGCTGATGGTGGGCGACTCGGACGACGCCACCGCGGAGTCGTGTGGCGCCCAGAGCTGGCGTCCGTGTCGCCGCACGCGTGCTCGCACGGGGGTGGCGTGTTGTGGACGGTGCTCGGTTGGGACGGACGGCGAGAGCGCGCCAAGCGGGATGAACCTGCAAACTCCTCAGAGGGGCCTTGCGCGGGCTAATCGCCGCCGAAGGGGCCCCAGGCGCGTGTAGTCGTGCCCCCAGCGTCATTCACTCTCTTTTGTCGCATTGCCCTGACATGATGCTTACTGGTCGAGAGGGCTCTAATCCAAACAGTCAAACTAACTGGGCCGTGCACCGCGCCAGGCCGGGCGGGGTGAGATCCGGGCGGTGACAGCTGGATCTGGGCGGATATAGGCCGGGCTGCTCTGGCCTCCGCTCACCCGCCGGGTCCGAGGCGGTGCTCGGCGCCGGGTATGTGTGGGCGCCCGGCGCTGCCACGGGGGCTTCAGGCCGACTGGGCAGGCTCGGCCCGACACTGAGAGGCGCCGTCTCCCACTACCACCTCGCCGCTTGCACCGCGCTCTGTTAGAGGATTAGGGGCGTGCGGGGGGGGGGGGGCAGAAATGCACCTGCCACCAATCCGACCAAGTCACCCACCCCGCTCCATGCTGAATAGGTTACAGCCGTTTGAGTCGGCTGTCTTTCGTCGAAGGCGATCGGCGCACGTTCACGAGCGCTTGAGCAGCTTGTGTACCTACTAAAGCAAGCTATGCTTCTCTGAAAGCTGATGGTGGGCACGGTGCACATCGTCGCATATCGTGAGCCAAATGTTACAGCATCTCCTGACCCTGCACGAGCGTGCCTGCCTCGCCAGCTAACCTAAAGCCGACGCTAACCGCGCCGTGCCTGGCAGGAAGTACTCGCTGATCAAGACGGAGGACCTGCCGCACCTGCCCGACTCGACGTTCAAGCCGGAGGTGGTGCACGACGTGGCCGAGAACATCCTGTCGTTCCTGCGCGCCAACGCTACCAAGACGGGCCACACGTACTGGCTGTTCAAGGGTGAGAGCGCCGCCGATCGGTCCAGGCCGGAGCCGGCTCGGCGGAGGCTGCCGTGGGGAGCGGTTTGAGCCGGGTGTCGGACCAAGCCGGTGTCAGGCTACAACGCGAGGCTAAACGCGTCGCCTGGCAGCGTGGTGGCTTGTGCTAGGTCAAACGGTGAACGGATTGCGGCCTGTCGCCACACTGCAAAGACCGGTGTGACCGTTTAACTCGTTGACACGTGATGTGCCTGGTTCACCTAGCAGCTTCTGTACCTTCTGAAGCACTGGCCCGCGGAGTGGTGAGCCTGTCGGCAAACTGGCCGTGTGACTGACCCACTGGTGCCGCTGCCAGGCGAGGATGACGACTGCGTTAAGCTGTACGACCTCAGCAGTCTGCTGGAGAGCCGCTTCGAAGAGGTCAACAGGGACGACAACCCTTTCTCGGGTCACGTGGCCCTGCTGCTCTACCGGTGAGTGGTCGGCCACCTCTTCTCTGTCGGTGGGTTCCGCCGATTCAAAAGTGGTTCCGCCTTGCTGCATGGGCAGAAAGAAAAGAAAAGAAAAAGAACAGCAAAGAGCAGTCGGTGTCGCGAGGCTGAAGTGATAACGTTGCTGGCAACAATAGTAAGAGTGGACTGCAGTTGTGGTCAAGCTGCAGATCGAGTCTGCGGGTTTCAGTCGACAGTTTTGGAGGTGGATGAGCGGCACTGTCACGGCCCGTCGTGCTCACCCTCGACGCGTGCAGCTCCTGTCGTCAGCTGTCGGTCGCCGCAGCCATGACGCGCGGCCCGTCCTTAACACCTGGGTGGCGTCGGGCGCCGCAGGATCGCCTGCAACATGCTGCGGAAACGGCACGTGGTGGACTACGGGGACCGTCTCGGCACGGTGCGCACCATCCTCAGCAAGACGCTGGAGCTCATCAAGGGCGACAAGTACTTGCAGGTCGGTGCGCGGGCCGGGCAGCGGCCGGGTAATGCCCGACACTCAGGAAGATGTGGGGATGGGCAGCGGGGCGATGCATGGCAAGAAAAGGTGGAGTATGTGGCGGTGGTGTCCTGTACCCGTGCTTCCCACTTATTGGTGCCTGCACACAGTCCGTAAAATGCAAAACGGGATTGATGGCACCTAGTTGTATGACATATTTAACTGATGGCGTGTATATCAAAGACAAAGTAAATTACTGGCATCTTGTGTTTTGTTGTGTCTGTGTCTTGTTGCATACCTGAAGCACTCGACACGTATCCCACTTCTCCGTTGTGGGGTCTACGGCGCGCCGCAGTCACAGTGTCACGACTGCCACCTGGCCGCCCTCTGGCTGTCGCTTCACACACGTGTCCCCTGCCTCCGCCGGCGTGTCCGCCCGAGCCGCGTGCCGATCTTCGCGTCCGGCCGCCAGGTACGGGCCAACATCCACATGATGCTGGCCGACTGCTACGTGCCGCGCGACCACCGACCGCTGGCCACCGAGTTCGCCGGCGCCGCCGCCGCTGCCGCCAGCGCTCTGGCGCGCAGCCCGGAGCGTGCCGGCGCCGCTGAATCGCCGTGGACGCAGCAGCCGATGGTGCGCGTCGACCTGCTGGCGCGCAAGGGCGCCGTGCCGCCGCGCGAGGGGCGCGCGGTCCGGCGACCTGCGGCCACAGCCGATCGCCGGCGACGCGCTCGAGCGCACCGAGTGCGCCATGGAGCACGTGCTGGCGGCGTTCAGCTGCCTGCGCCGGCGCGACGAGCTCGAGCGCGATGACAAGGCGCCGAAGATGGCGCGGCCTTCGCAGGCTATTCCGATGCCGTACTGCCCACTGAACACGGCGCTGGTTGGCGGCGGCGGCCGGCACGGGGGCGGAGCCGCGCCCGCCGTCGCCGCCGCCGCCGCCGGCCGCGCCGTCCGCGCCTGCCGCCGCCGCACAGGAGGGCGACGTCTCGGACACGCTGCTCTGCCAGAAGGGCGGCGCACTTGTGCACGGTGCGCGCGGCGGCGGCCGCCGAGCGCGACGACGCGCTGCCGGCGCTGCAGATGGCGCAGGCGGCGCTGTGCTGCGTGCGCGCCGCTGGCGGCAGCGGCCAGGTGCCCGAGGTGACCGCCGCCGCCTCCATCCTCGTCAGCGACGGCCTGCTGCTGCTGAGCCGAGCGCCGGTCGCCGAGACGGAGGCGGCGCGCCGCCGCTGGCAGGAGCCCGGCGAGCCGCTCGGCCGAGAGCTGCTGCACATCCTGCGCCAGAAGGACGCCTGTGAGTGCGCGGCCGGCGACGCGTTATCATGTCAGAAGCCCGGGCGAGCCCGAGTGACTCACCAGGCTTGGTATGGCGCCCGTGGGTGGGTTAGGGGTGGTGGTGGTAATGCCAGGAGCACAGGCTCTCACCACCAGCTCACTGGACCCCCGCGTAGCAAGCGTATTGATAAGGCTGGACGCCCGAGTCCGACAGTGACCTTGCAGAGTACGCCCTCCTCAGCACGCCTCCTCATTTTTGTCCGTTTGCCAGACGGAGCTGCCTCAGTTTGGCGCGACTTGACCGCTCGTGCTCTGTCGTTTGTCAGACTTCGAGCCGGCGTTCGTGGGCCGGCCGGCGCGGCGTGCGTCGGAGGCCGGCGACATGGCCATGTTGGGGGACGCGATCGGTATCATGGAGGCGGCCGTCTCGCTGAAGGTGAGCGCCCCTGGCGCCACAGTTATGTGCCGTCGACCAATCACCGAGTGGGCTCATCACGGCCGGTCCGCGGGTCCATTTGCAGAGTCTGTGAGGTAGGTGGTGGGCTAGTTCAGGCGGGCGACGTACGATCTCTGTCGCAATCCGGCTCCGGCTGTTCAGCTCTCGCTGTGTTTCGCTGTGTGACGCTGCCCTGTCAGCCGATGACTCCGCCACTTGTAGACAGATACCTTACTGAGGCGATGCCTGAGTGGATGTTGCGTGGATGCGTTAGTGAGATGGTAGAAGCTTTTGGTGTGATTCGCTCGGTGGTGTTTCTGCGCGTGCTGCGGACTCCGTAGCTCAGCTGTTGGATGCTGGGACTGAGTCGCCGCAGCGGCGGGGCCAACGTATGGCGCAGAGGGCCAAGAATGGCACAGAGCCCGCAGTGTCGTGAAGTGATAGAACAAGGCGAGTGAAAGTGGGGCTGGCCTGACCTCGCTGTTGGCCCTCCTCCCCCCACAGCACTTGTCGTCCGAGATGCGTCAGCACGTACGTACGCGGCTGGGCCTCATCCTCAATGAGATTGGCCTGCTACACAACCGACGCCTGGAGAATCTGATGCAGACGGTGGACGGCGGCGGCGCTGACGGCCTGCGCGCGCGCGCCGAGGCGCAGCGCCGGCCCATGGAGCGCGCCTACAAGAGCGCGGAGGCGGCCTTCAGCAAGGTGGGCGGCTGCCGGGTACCGGCAGGTAGTGTGGAGTGTGACATCATTTGGCATGATGTAGCACATAACAGGATGCGTTTAATATTCACCGAAAACTTTGCACCTAAAACCATCAGATCATGAAAAGTTGGCATGCTAAACATGCACAATTTGAGCCAGTCTTACGGAAACTTTGCTAAACAACTAAAAAGAAAAAAGAAAAGGACCAGTACATTTTAAACGAACGGTATACGGCACAATCACTATCGGATTTCCTACAAATGCACTAGTTTGTCGGCAGGTCGTTTCCGCTGTACTTTATTTTACTTCATGAGAAGCTGTTGCGAAATTAGCATGAGTTCTCGCTAGTGTTTGTCACCAAATGGCGGGCTGGGCATATCCGCACGTGTGTCGCTGTTGGGCCGGTTACCTCCTCCGGTTGGCGCGCGTGTCTGGATGACACTCAACGGCCTGTCTGTCTCACCGTCCAGCCCGCCCCTCCACTGTCTACTGGGCCTCGCGCATGCACACCACGCCTCATGCCGCTCCATCGCCGCCGCCTGTCGCTCTCTGCCCACTGGACGGCGGCTGTCTACGACGGGCTCCACCGCACTGGCGGCGACCCTGCCGGCAGCCGTGTGTCCGCTGCACACCCCAGGCCCTCCCCCTGACCGCTCTCCCGCTGGCCGCAGGCGGTCACTCTTCTGGACGGGACGCCGCAGCGCTGCGCCACGGAGATGAACCTGGGCCACCTGTACGACCGCTCGGCGGCGGCGCAGCACCGACTGCTGGGCGACGCCGCCGCCACGCTGGCCGACCTGGAGCGCACGGCCGCCTGCTACGGCCGCGCCGCCGC